CTGCATCACATCAAATCTAAAGAAATTGATATTTTTTTGGTTTTTCTTTTGCATGTTACCCCATGATGGCGGATGATGATTTATCTTTTCATATGTTATCATTAACATGGATGCAAGAGAAATTCAACCCATGTTGTCCCCAAAATGCAACCCATGTTCTAGGAGCTTAATCATATTCTTTTAAATTTAGCTTAAAAAGCTTTAAATTCAAGCCAGAAACTGAACTAGAACAAGAGATTTCATTGTCAGGCAATTGTACATACTTTTCAAATATAATTTTGAACCCTATATGAAATGACTCCTATATGACTCAATTTGATTGTCATCATTATATTCTATATGATCATGAAGTTCAGAATCAATCTTAAATAAATGCTATGACTTATCCAAAATTTTATTAAATATGACTGAAATATGCTCACTTTCAATCTTGGTATCAGCTGTCAACTCATCGAACTGGTTACAAGCAGTCGTAAATTGGCAACATAAATTTGTTCTTTCTTTCTTCAAATTATCCATAACATTATCTACATTATCATTCTTCTTCATTTCATTCATTTTTAATTTCAGTTACATATGCTCAAATGTATCAACAATGAAATTTCAATATCGCAGAAAGTTCTAATTACTTAATTCATAATAGATAAACACTTTTCTTGCAGATGCCACATAATGTTGACTATCGACATACAAAGTTAATATAATCCAATAACTTAAATATATTTATTTACAGAAGTTTACATACAGGAGTAAAATTAAGATACGTTTTGAATTACTTAAATTTGGCTTACAAACATTTTCCTTTTGAATATATACCTTAAAAACTAGTTGCCAAATCCTAAGAGTTAAGCATTACAATTTGCAGTGAAATAATAATATGATTCTCAACAAGTACAGTGGTTTCAGGATAATTATGTATATGGTAAAATTGTGTGGAATACAAAAAATGGAAGGATTATTTGAAGGCCTCCTCTATTTTCTTGAGAGTTCTGGTCTGTATTCAACAAGTAAATTTTGATACTCTATTCCAAAAACACAAAATCGAGTCAAAGCATGGCACAAATGCTTCAAAAGACTTCTTGGAAAAATCTCATGTTGGTGTTTACACAATAAATGATAAGCTTAGAAAGGAACAGTTACAATTGCAGTGTAGAGCATAAAATTTCATTCACATGATAGCTCTTATGCCAACTCACAAGAAATACGTTGAATGAGACTCACTACTGAGTACACTACTGAGTACAGAACAAATCAATCAGCTGTAAATTTCTTGCATACTGAAATTATTCACGTAAAATATCATATTTCTGAATATTAGCCAGTCCATCAGTCAAAAGAGCATTTTTCTTCAAAAATTTAGCCAAATTCAAAAACTGTACATAAACTGAAATGAAAAAATAATAATAAGAATAATAATAATAATCCTGTAGTATTCAAACATGTCATGATGTGGGCGAAAATATTGCCAAGCAGGTAACAGGGATGGAATATTATCCACTGAAATCACTGTAAAGTAAAACAGCAAATACCAATGTTGATATTTTAACTCTGGTAACCCTATCTGAAGCTAGCACATTTTCTCCATCCATTTGTAACCTTACATATGATCTGTGGTATCTGTACCCTTTTGTTTTTGTCTAATTCTGTAAGAAATATTTTAACTTTGGTAATCCTATCTGAAGCTAGCACATTTTCCCCATCCATTTGCAACCTTGCATATGATCTGTGGTATCTGTGCACTTTTGTTTTTGTCTGAAGGATTAGTGGGAAGAGAAACTCTTATATGGGAAATTTCACATTACAGATGATCAAGTTTGCTGAAATTTCTAACAATAGTATGGCTGCATGACATTTCTCCTAACTAAAAGATAAGTTTGACAGTAAAGAAAAAAAATAGTGGAGATGCCAAAATGCAAAAGGGTAGCACATGGCCAATTTTTATAAGTCAGGCAACCATTTTGCCAACATGAGATTTGCATTTTGACGATGACGCAAACAACCAGCAATGTAGACAAAAGCAAAACACAACTCATTTTTAAGAAATGAATAGGTCATTCCATTTAAAATTTATTTTTTCATAAACTTGAGAAATATTTACTAAGGAAACAAAAAGTGCTATATTTGGCAATTTAGAGCTTGTACCCAGCAAATAGAAAAGTATAGTTTGACCACCTTAACTGCGAACATGAGCACAAACATGCATGTGCCATTTGGACCGATTTAGTCTTAAAATAGGGTGGATGAAATCAGGGTAGAATCATTTCATAGAGATTTTTTTTTCCTTTATTATTTTCCCTCAGTTTATTTTAACAGCATTCAAAGGGCACAAACATAAGAGTACTTTTAGGTAACCTTAGCTGATATGCTGATCATCATTTATTATTACATCGCATTAATGTGCATTTATTTATTTATATATTCGTAAAAATACAAGTGTTATCCAAATTAGTTTTATTTATAATAAAATGTAATAACTAAATTTTATTATAATTGTAATTATAATTATTCAGTTATTATATTTTACTGTATGCTTTTCATTATTATAATTATATTACAATTGATAATTATTTTACCCTTTTTCTCTAAAATCTATGCGTATTTTTACAAACTAAAATAAAAAATCCTTATTAATTCATTATAATGATTATACAGTGATAAATAATTGTTATAGTTACTTAAATAATTATAATGACTATAATAAAATAAATATTATATCGCTTTGATTTTAACTGGGTATTAGATGCACTGGGGAGGAGGGGAGGTAAAAAGAAAAATTTCTTACCTCTATACTTCTTATTATTCTGTGTCATAGTCACTATGCATATCCAAGGTGTCATCCTCTTCATCAAAAGAAATAATTAAAGATTCACATAAATCTTCCATTAAACCCTCTTTTTTCCAGTAGTCATTCTGTACGTTTTCTACATGGGTGCAGTACTTCTTCCAGTTTTCTGTCGTTACACTTTCAAGAGCTTCTTCTGTAATTTTTAATAACTTATCCATTGCCATGTCTCCAGCATGCTGCAGCTCCCTACAGATTGCTTTATTTCACCCCATACAAATTCAATTGCATTAATACAATTGCCCCCATCGCAATGGTACAGGGGCAGACGTAGAGAAAGAAAAAAACATTTTTTCGAGCATTGAATCTAATTTATACGACTCTTCTTAAGGAGCCTTTTGGGTTAGAGAAGGAAATGCGTGTGGTCAAACGTCGAAGGATATTTTTTACTATTTATTATTTTTTGTGAATTTATGTATGCCAATATACAGATTGTAGTTCAGATAATTAGGAAATTTTTGGATGTTGTTAAGGAATTTTGTTTGACTGAAGACATGGAACTAAATAAGGTAAGTGGATATTTCCTTTGTGTAGTGCGAAGACGAATTTCCTTTTTTATGTTAATTCATTGTTTGATTTAAAAAGTAGTTTATTGAGATTATATATTTTTTGTTGGCTGCTTTGACTTTTTAAGTGAATATAGATTGATGTGTACATGGACAAAGTCAAGGGAGTGGGCAATGCTTAGTTTGTGCTATTCTCCGATTGTTTTTCAAGTGAAAAATAGGTCGATATGTACATGGATACCGAGTTTGTCCAATTCTTTGGCTTTGGGTAGCAGCAATATTTGGCGCAAAAATTGCCACTACACAAAATTGGTGATAATTTAATGCTCCGAACAAGTACCTTAAATTATGGCAGTTGACAACACATAATTAGACGGATACCACTCCAGGTGTTACAACTTCTGATGACTAGTTTAAAAACAATTAATTCTTAAACAATGATGAAATATTCAAGTATTTATTGGCAAAGCCAATGAAAAAGATGACAAATCCAAAAACGAAAAGAAGAAAATGTAAATGATGTCAAAGCAAAAGCAGTAAAGGAATTGGCAATTTCACTTTTAAAAAAGGCTATGCTACAACCTACCCCAAGAAAGAACTATTGATTTCTCTTTGAATGCAGTATTTCTTTCTTTAAACATACATTTTTAAAAATGTATGCTATGATTATTCAATTTAAAAACACAGAGATGTAATAAATTTGTGTGAGCTACCGCTTTTATAATTTCCTCCCTTCCCTGCTCAAGTGATGTTTTCACATCATTTGATTCAACCAATCATTTCATTACTCAATCAAAAGTCCAGTTTCAAGGTAGCTGGTTAAAAGGGTGCTTACTGAATGTATTTTTTAATTAAATAACTTTCAAAAAATTTCATTTAAGCTTTTATGCTCTATTTATTCATCTCCACTGATTTTATAATTAACGCATTTTGTATGGTCTATCTATCATATGCAACTATGTTGCTTAGCGGTAATATGAATAATAGTAACATACGATGTAATATGAAAACTTCAGAAATGCAGTGTTATCAACTAATGTGTTGAAGGATATGTAGATGTCTCACCACATAAGAGATATTTATACAAGTTGATTACAAATAAGTTGACTAAGTTAAAAATCTGTTCTAATAAAAATATACCAATCCATACATTATATGAAACACTATTTTTTTCCCTTGTGTCACTTAAAAGTGCTGATTTTAAATGGGTACTAATACCTGCCTCACTTTTAAATGGTAATCCGAGAAACAGGTACTAGTACCCATCCTGCTTATAAGTGGCAATCTGCAAAACGAGTACAAATACCTGCTCCTGCTCATAATGTGTTAAAAAAAAAAAACATTTTTAAGCAATCAATAATCAAATAAATTTATATGCATTTTTTTTTTTTTTTTTTTTTTTTTTTTGTATCTCACTTACTTTATATTTTATGATTTTTTTTTTCATTTTTTATCCACTGCAGCAAATAAAATTCAAAGCTTTTGTAAATTAATTCTGATACAGATTTTAACGAGCCTAGTGCTAGAAAGAAGTTTCAGAAACTTTCATTTCCTCCATGTAAGTATTATTTAAAATAGCCACAACAATAACACATAAATAACTTCCTATCTAATAATAAACACATGAAAAAACATAATATATTAAAACTTACTTGCATGTATAATTGAGTTGATGCAGACCTTGATCTCAGAAATTTGCTTTTCTAAACCATGCAAATTTTCAAATTTAGTGCTACTTGAGAAAGTTTCATATTCATTACATTTTTTTAAATCAACATGAAAATTTGTATGCTTATTAATTGAAAAATACTGTGACACAAGAACAGAACATTTATCCACATTTGAAACTGATCGAAAATGTTCAGCAACAGATGATTTGTTTAATACTCCAGGCTTTGAAGATTTTGGCGTTGAGCACTGAAAAGACTTCCTGGAAAGTGCTGAAAAGCTAGTACTGTGACTTTCATTGATAGAATCTTCTACACTGGAACTATTGCTTTCATTCAAATTCAGATATTTTAACCTCATACAAATATCATCTAAAGTCTTTTTAGATTTCTTTCTTTCAGGAGCTTTCATATTTTCAGAGCTTATGGCAGAACTTTCTATTGCATCAATAGTAATGGAAAATGGATAGCCCAAGAAACGAAAATTCAAATTCATTCCCTCTGTAATATATATGTGAGCTATAAAAAAATTAACATAGATATAAAATTATGAGCCATCATTATAAATAAATTTAATCATATAATTTTTATGTTAATATAATATATGACAAAATATCCACTTTTACACAAATGCAAAATTCAAGTGAAAATAATGGCATATAAATCTCTGTAAAATATCATGAAGCATGATGAGTACGAATAAGCATGATTTTCTCTCCTTTAAAGAGTGCTTAGATAATATTTTAAGGTTCAGTGACATTAAGGTAATTATATTTTTTATGCTTTTAATGTGTGAATGATACATCTTTTACATACTGCATCTACCAAATTTGGGAAGAGTTTCATGCCCTGCCCCAGAGTTAACAACATTAGTAGAAAATTTCAAACCACAGTCAAATAAGTAATGCTCAGATGTTTTAATGTACATAAGTAAACAAAATAATTAAGAAATTTTAAGTAACAACCAGTTATTTTAATGCGTATGTAAATGAATGATTAGAAAATTTGTGAACTATGGAATGCAAAAGTAATATTCCGATAAGATTAATATGAATGATGAAAGTGTTTTATTTAGCGATTTGAAAGTTATGTATTTAAATGCATCTTAAGAAAAATACTGCAGGGAGCTGATAAATTAATCAAATGTTTATTTAATCTAGAAAATAATTAAATGTGTTACTGACTTAATACTGTATGTGTTATTTGAGTTATTTTACTTGATGGTCTGTCCAGTCACTCTTTTTGGTTGAGTCTATGGCTTTTAAAAAACACTGGAGACTAACTAGGGTATCATTAACTATTTTTATAAGTTAAAAATTACATAACACAATTTATGTTATACATATACTCACCACTTCTTTTATATTTGTCATTATCGAAGAATGATTACTGTGAATTATTTGGTTATTTGAAGGTGCCAAGAAATTATTTAAACTCATTTTATTATTTATGGGGAACTGATTGACTGATATGTATGAATATTTCTTTGCTGGTTTTTGAGAGTTTGAATTCATGGAAAGTAATTTGTAATATAGCTCTAGAGATTTACAAAATTGATTGATTATTTAGTTTATGTGTTTTGAAGTATTTTTTTTTTTTTTTTAAGAGATAGCATTCTAATTACCCAAGCACTAGCGACGACAATTTATTTCTCTTTAATGTCAAATAGGTGTGAATTTGACTTTTGATTGAATTAACTGATTTTAAGGATATGTTTAGGTTTCATTTGGGTTTAGATCAATCAAACAGTTCCTCCAACACTGAGTTCAGAGTTTTCAATTTATAATTTTAGTTGGCTACCTAGATGCTTTATTTTTATGGCACCAGTGAAAGTCAAGTGTAGTTAAGCTGAATAGGTCAATCAGTTAGTTTGAAAAATAAGTAAATTATTATTATGCAATTTTATATATGTAAGATGAAACAAAATATGATAGCTGTTTTAAAAAAAATAATTGGCGACTTCAAAATTAACATTCTACGAGGGCTATCCAGAAAGTAGATTACGTTTTGGAATAAAAAAATAAACAAAGTATAGGAAACAAATTTTATTATATACAGATGAAAGCCACACTCAAATACTACTTTTCTACATAGTCACCATACAAATTAAGGCATTTATCGTAGCGATGTACGAGCTTGGAAATTCCTTCGTCGAAAAATTCGGCCGCCTGCGCCTTCAACCACTTCGTTACCTCTTCTTGCCTTCCATCTTGCACAAAACTTGTGGTAACCAAGCTTTTCGCTGATGATTTCGTGCAACAAACTTCGCGAAATTTGTGGAAAACTCAAAGAAAGTTCCGTTATTGTGAAATTTCGATTTTCACGGACTTTAGCATCGACTTTTTCGAGAAGTTCGGCGGTCACTATGCTGGGTCTCCCACTTCGATCTTCGTCGTGAACATTGGTTCGGCCATTTTGAAATCTTATGACCCACTGACGCACTCCACCTTCAGTGATAATGTTGTCCCCATACACTTCACGAAGCTGCCGATAGATTTCTATCGGTTTACAGTTTTTTGCAGTCAGAAACCTTATTACTGAGCGCACCTCGCAGCTCGCGGGATTTTCAATTAACGCAGACATTTCAAACCGTCACAGTATCTGAACGGAGCACAGCACGAACCTCTCACTAGCACGGCTAGATGCAGACTGAGCTGCGCAACGCTCTGACCCCAAGATGGCCGCGCTAGCCCCGCCCCTAGCGGACACAGACGGAAACGTAATCTACTTCCTGGATGGCCCTCGTAGTTGGCTACCCCTAATCATCGTTCTCCGGATTTGGATCTTTTCGACATAATGTTCAATGCAAATATCTTGTCCATCAAATCATTGAAACCAAACTTTCTCTACTCAACTGTCTATTGAGTCCCCTTTTCCTCTGTGTTGCAGCATTCTTTCACTCCACTCTGTGCGAATGCGCTGTTCTGCTGCTGTTCCATTGCTGCTGCTTATTGCCTAAGATGATATCGTACTTCAAAGTGGAACTTATATTCAACTTGTAACAGACCTATTTAAGTGTAATTGAACTATTTTATTCACGCCATGAACTCATGAACTGTAACCGAACTATTTTATTTAAAACGCCATCTCGTGGCGATATGAAAAAAAGTCAGTCGACCTCCAGCCGCCATGATGATAGCTTACTATGTTATGTTATTCTCAATGTTTGATGTTCCATTTGGTATATGTTTCATTTTTTATGTATATTTCTTTTGTTTGTAACTGTTCCTGTGTGCTCTGTTAATAAATCCTTTTAAAGCTAGCCGGCATTAGTGTCTATTGAGGAATGGCTACATCACATTGGCGCCCAACGTGGGGCCAATGTGATGTAGCCGTTCCTCAATAGACACTAATGCCGGCTAGCTTTAAAAGGATTTATTAACAGAGCACACAGGAACGGTTACAAACCATAATTAAGAAATATCTTATCTGGAAAAGAATGATTTGATATTCATAAAAAATAAAGATTCTGATTCTTCAAGCTCAGTTGTGCTAAATGTGTCATCATGATTTTCCACTCAGCTACAGTCTTCTCAGTCATGATGTATATCGAAAGCTGTTAAAAAATCTAATGTTTTCATCTATGCATTTTAAAATCATTACAATTTTAAAAGTCAAGACAGGATAAACCTGGTGAAAGTTTCTCGAATGGTCTTCGAACTCTGCTGCCTCAAATTTCCAGTGAATCATCAAATTTGTTTCCGGCATTCTCAAATATGCTTTGAAAGTCATCGAGTATCTGTAAATTCAAAATCTAAAAGAGAAGAAAAAGTGCTTCGAATCAAGGTCAGTGTCACAACATAGTGAAATATGCTTAATGATTCTTGCTTGCTTCGAATATTCACAATGTTTATGCATTTCCAATCATCGCATAAAAGAAAATTAAACATCTAGAGTGCTTTGAAACATCTAGAGTGCTAGAACACTTATCAGTGAAATGTGAAAATATGAACAAAATAATGTTTTGCACTCTAGCATTTTTCGGTGTTCTTATTCAAAGAACGGAATATTATCAAAACTCATCAAAGATGTTGAAATGGTATTAAGTTACAAAATCAAAGTTTTTAATTGAGTAAGTTATGTTTTAAAGTAATTTTGCATTTGTAAGTAATTGCATTGTTTTATGATTTATTGATGGTAATATTTTGCTTAAATCATTTTAAGGTGAAAGTTAATCATTTAAAAATTTTATGATTTACTTATAATGTAGTTTCGTATATTTGAATCGAAAAAAAAAATACTCAATTTGATAAAAATTAGGTAAAGAATTTGAAGACACTTTGCTGATGGTGCTTTATGTTGATGATGGCGACAATGCCATCATCAACATAAAGCGCCATCAGCATCTTATGTCCATAGTCATTTCGTATGAACAGGCAGTTGTCAGATTTACTTTGTATCATGCCATGTTTCTTCAGCACATCAGTAAACTTGGCATTCCAACATCGTCCAGCTTGTTTCAAGCCGTATAAAGGTTGAAGCATCTTGCATACACGCTTACTTCCGTCATTATAGCCTTCAGGTTTATGCATGTAGATCTCCTCAGTTAAGTCACCGTAAAGGAATGCCGTCTCCATGTCAATTTGATATAAGCTGAGATTCTTTTTGGCTGCCGTTGCAGTAGTGTCATAGCAACACACCGGGCTTAATGTGCCTTTGTAGTCCATATTCACCATCTGGGTGTACCCTTTTGCTACTACACTGGCCTTGAATCTCTCGATTGAGCCATCTGGATTTGTCTTCACTCTGTAAATCCAGCGATTGTCGAGAATTTTATGTCCGTTAGGTGGCTCAACAAGTTGCCATGTTCCATGTTTCCAGTCGGCGTATTCAGGAGACTTTATTGCTTCATCATATGTTTTAGGCTCTTCCAACTTCAGAATGCTGTTATACATGTCGTAGTCATTAAATCTGAGAGGCTGATGGATAGTTGAACAGTTTCGCAATGTACGCTCAGTCATCTGGGTTGATTCATCTTCATCAGTGCACAGATCACCAGCCCCCTGTGTGTCTGCATCATTGCATGCATCTTCCAAAATAAACTTCATACCGCTTGATAGACCGGTGTTAGATGCTAATTTTGAAGGTTGGGAAGTAGGATCGATTTGCTGTTTATTGAACAACTACTTTGCACTTTTTATCGTATCATTCCTTTATGGTATGAAAATGTGATACCCATCGTAATCACAATAACCAACCAAATAGCCCTTTATAGCCTTGTCATCTAATTTACCTCTGCTGACATTTGGTAAATGTACAAATGCAGCTGATCCAAAAACTCAAATTCTGCTGATTGCAGGCTTGCGTCCAAACCATTCCTCAAATGGAGATTTTCCCGTAGTCTTACTTGGTCCAGTTCGATTGAGAACGTAGACAGCTGTAGATGTTGCTTATGCCCATAGGGACTGTGGTAGGCCTGAATCCTTGATCATAATGCGAACTGCATTCATTATTGTACGATTCTCTCTTTCAACCAATCCATTTTGTTCTGGTGTTATATGGCATTGTGATTCACAGCT